ACTGCGCCACCGAGGCAGTAGTCAATATGCCACAGCAGAGCGTGGTAGAGTACAGCTAGTGTTTATATATAATTACGAGTTATTTAATTTGACTAACAAGCGCTATATGTCAGATGTCACACATCATATGCGTCTGCTGCACGCCTCACTCGTATCTTTCTGTGATGTCAAAATACCACAGCAAATTTAAAAATTTGATTATTTTGCCAAGAATTTTAATCACATTGCGCAATGCATATCATAATAGCATACCAAAGGTCTTGGTTATGTATAAATATTTAAAAGCAATATAGTTTCTCGCACTCCATCGCTTCGTACCCATTGTTGCAATAAAACAAACATAATTAACTCGCAAACACTGCCAACTTAATTCCTACGATAAATATGGAGATTAACTCAATACGATTTATACATTAACGCTGAAAGTGTGCGCGGAATATATATTTTAAGTTCGTAGCACACTTCTGAAGCGAAAATATATAGCTATGCTATTTACTGAGTATTCCACAAATACGATCTTTTTCCGGTACGCATCACTACATAACACTAGTTGTGCCCCGCGTCTTTATTCCCGTTAAATTTGCTGCCAACACGCTGCACCTGTGTCGCCTTATTGTCGTTATGTATTCGTGTATTTATTGCATATTTTATAGTACTACAGTATGTTGTAGTAGCATATCCACTCCTTCCCTGCACTTAAAGGCTTTCAATCTTTTTTTGAATATCGTCCTGCCAGAATATGAAGTAAAATCTTTTAAATAAAACAAATAAATAAACAAGCAGTTTATTTCTGTACAGCTTTTATCGTTTTTCATTTAGGGCTTCGTATTGTCAATGAAGTGAAAATCTTGATGATTTTTGTTGGCTCTTAAAATATATAATATCGCTAACATAAATTAGGTGAGCCACAAGCTTTATTACGGTGTACTGGTTCAAGTAATAAATATATTGGATTACGGTCGGGTCACCTGGACCGTGATTGATGACGCAATGGCCGTGACGTAGTTATGAGTTGCCACTGGGGAGTTAAAATTGCGATCGAGCCATCATATTGGGATAATTGTTTTACTCTTGCAGATATACATATCATGTCGTCATTTATTATAGAATTTAAATCAAAAGATGTTATATTATACTTCAACATAGCGCATTTTCCAATGAGCATCAAAATACAGTCTGCCTAACGAATTACTATTTGTAATAGAATACAAAAAAAAAAATACTGCAACATTACCTTAAAAAAATGTCAACATCATATAAACGATTACACATCAAATACCTTGTACCCTTTTATCAACTACAACACAAGTCTGTGGCAGTACTGGAATTACTGCCATATAAAATAACATACGATATGATATATATATACCATAAAAATCATACATAACATAACATACGATACTCCTTTTTCGGCAGCAACATTTTTTTTCCGACACTATGGCAAACGTCTACGAAAAAGCGAAAGGAACTTTGTGCCGACCGGGGGTCCATAGACCCCTCACGCAAATTTTTATTGTTTATTTCCCTATAACCCTACACACATGTATGAAAGATTACATTCTAGTAGAAAATATGCATAATATTAGGTAAACGTTTCCACTAGTTACCTAAGCAATACCACCAGTACAGTATTAGCTCAGTGGGTCAACGATGTTGGAAATAACTTCCGATCGGTATTAATATCTGGCCCTGGACGCTAGCCAGAGGGATAGCCGGCGGCTGTGGGTACGTGGCTTTGAAGCCGACGTTGGCTTTGTGATTGCAACTACACGTTTTAATTGTACCATGTTTTGGTTACAAATCGTACTTTGTTTATACACTACTAGTATAAAGATGGAGCGTTCTTTTCATTTCGAGTTTCCTTTGTTTTCAACCGACTTCAGAAAGTCGAGAAAATGATCAATTCGTATTTTTTTGTATTATTATACTTACCGTTTGGTTCCCATCAAATTCGGAAAAAAATACCACCCCTAAGGTTGAATAATTAAGGAATAAGATGGTCACTTTCCATCAGGTGACCAGTCTGCCTCTCTTCCATAAATTTTTTATTACAGTTTATGAAAATTTATCATGTTTTAGGCGTATTTAATTTAGTGATTCTATTTAAAAGTAAGTTACATAATTTTTTTTTCTATTTTCAATGTCATTAAAAGACGAAAACTCAGTTAAAATTAAGGTCTGGGTTCAGCGCTAACAGGCATAGAATGACAATATACTATCTTAACAAGTACTTGTTTTGTTATTATACACTATTATATTTTAATTACAGCCTTAAATAAAAGTTAAAATATGTTTGTTGATAGTGTGTTATGGAGATTATAAAGAAACATTTATATGAATACATAGCTGCAGAGAAAATGTGAAATATAATTAACTAGATTTTGTGTATGTTTGTTATCAATCAACTATCTTCATACCAAATTTCATCTAAAGCTGTTCAGCGGTTATTGATTCTTCATACAAACTTCGACCCCTACTTTTATCCCCTTAAAGGATGATTTTTGGGATAAAACTACCATAATGTCCTTTCTCCGGACTCAAACTATTTCTGTACCAAATTTCATCTACATCGCTTTATCGGTTTAAGCGTGATGAGGAACAGATAGACTTTCGCATTTATAATATTGGTTAATATTATAAATTAAGTAATTTATATTTTAACTTAATTAAGTTATATATTTTTTAACAATGTTTTGTTATTTGGTAAAGACAACAAAATTAAAAAATCAATACCAGACGTCGCCAGCTAATTATGAGCCTTTAAACTTAAACACATAACGACATATGACTAACTCTCGTTTAATTAACTAAAATACAAAACCACAGAAAACAACCCGCCATAAACCAAGCGGAGTAACATTAACTGGCTTTACGTCATAACTGTTACGTCACACGCGAGTAATTCATGCGAATAATTAACTCATATTCTCTTTGCGATGAATAAAACCACGCGAGAATCAAACTTTGTAACGCTCAGAGGGGCGAATGAGTGTTGCTTAATAGTTGGGCAATTAGCTGGGTGGTTGGTTGTCGAAGTTTGAAAACTACGCTATGCACTGAATTAGAAAAGTTTACAAACATATATAAATAATAAGTCATGTTTGCTATGTATGACTTAGATATTTTTTTAAACATTGAACATACATATATCTTAACTTTGTTTAGTAAAGTTTAGTTACTTTGATTGTTTCCTAAGAGAACATTTAGACATAAAAGTCTCCCACGCTAATATCACCTTCTCCCTACTGAAAGGAGGCATTTCGTCAGAATACCATACACAGCTCGTCTTGCACCGCCTCTATCCAGGTCAACTTGAGATTCATTACTCGTATACATTAAGCACTTGTCTTAAAACCCACACAACTATTATATTTATCTATAAACACAGTAATCGAGATACGAACTTCCAACAGCAATAAACAGACTTCATAACACTCTCCAGCGACTCCCGTAAGCACATTACAGTAGTGCTGAAACAAAATTACGGCCAAGGCAGCCAAGTTGTACTTGACGTTGCCAAGGGCTGTAATTACGAATAATGGACGAACTTGGCGGGGGCTGCGCGCGTTCCTCTGTTGAAAATAATGAGTTGTGATTGTTCGTTATTTTGCATAAAAAATGCACGGGTCATTAGGTGAGTGTGATAATTTTAGGAAGTATAAAGTAATAGAAAGATCTCCCTTGATTTAGAAGTAAAATGATAGAGCAAGACAGGGTTAAACTCTGATGGTCTTCCTCATTGCTGAGTTCAAGAATTAAAACAAAAAACCATTCGCTATTGTTAAAAGACAATACATAGCATATTCAACTGAATTTTCAGATAGAAGTTTGTAGGCGAATCTATTTCTTTTTTATCAAACAAACGCATCATACATGTTATGTCACAAATGTTATTAAATGAATTAAATCAATTTATTGGTTCCTTGGTGACCATTTTAATGCAAGTAACATCCAAAACTATTGTTACTTTTAAATTTGTTTCTATTAAATTATTTTTTGTTCTTGATGTGGTAAAGCTGTATTGTCTGTAGTATTAATAAATACAATGACTACAACGCTTGCTTTATAACATGGGGATTGTTTAAAAAAACGTGGGTCAGTCGTTGCTAACGTTCCTTTCCATATTTAATGACTCTTAACCACAACACTACTGAGTATATCAGTTTCATAATTAATTTAAAGATAAATTTGAAACTAATGTTGAGATAAAAAAAATGTTTTTCTTTATGCCTACAGGTGGCTATACACCTATCGGTGGTAGTTTCATCAACAGCCTTTACTAGTCCACTGCTAGACATCGCCCTCTCCTTAGAAAGGAGTTTTTGGCCTACTATACCACGCTGGCCAGACGGGTTGGTATATGGTTTGTTTCAAGTTTTCCTTCTCTCTGCAGTGCTGTTGTCCTGCGTAGTTTGTTCCCTTAGTCGCCTCTTACGGCACCCACTGTATGAATAGGGGTGGTGACTCTATGTATTCTTAATCCGTCACCCAACGGGTAGTTTACTGATTGTTTTTTAAGTTTCTTGTAAAGGACTTATAAAGTTATTTTTATAATATTCATATACGTATAAAACATATATGGATTTACCCAATTTATTTATCCGGCTCGTTTCGTGGCTCGTTTCTAGGCGCAGAATGCCCTGTTACCGTAAACGATATACATAGGTATACTTTAATAGTTATAATGAAATGGTTTGGAGCGAAATATATCGTTTAATGCAACACCACTCATTTCTACGAAAAATAAGGGGTGTGTTACAAATCGAAATGAGTTCAGTTCTAACCGTTTTTTTTGTTCAAGATTGTGTATTTGGTTGTGAATGTTTTCCTATAATATACTTGCACAAATTTAACTTTGACGTCACTTTATATAAATAAATATATACTCCATATATTGACCTTGTGTATTCACGACTTTTATATAAGACTATTTGTGTAAACCCGTAATATACAGTGTTAGTAAGTGTACATTTTGATGTATTTTTAAAAAGTATCCAAATATGTCGCAACCGCCCCAACAAGGTTTTGTGCCTGAAAAAGTTCAGGAATTCAATCGAAGAGCTTCTCAAGAAATGTCAGAAGCTATTGCTCATCACAAAATGAGAACTCAAGATACTCCGAAGAAAGAGGCTCTGCAAACCCAGAATGGCACTGAAAAGCCCCAAACGTCTGATAAACCACTTAAAGATGAAAAGCCTAAGGTTGAAACTGGTTATACAAGACAGCACATGGACAGCAAGAACCCATTTTCTCCCCACTTTTACCGAAGCAGCAGCAGACCACATGGTCACTTCGAAATGGGTCCTCGAGGCCTTGACTACTCACCCCATCGCGTGGGATTAGACTTCTCTAATAGACTGCGTGATTACGGGCCGCAACGCTCTACTTCTATTCATGGGCATGAGCTCACTGATGCACCAATGAAGCCCGAGTATCTTGGTCATAGAAGCCACTTTGGCAGTCAGATCGTACCTGGTGGGATCAACCATCCCGATGTGGTCTTCAGGCACGATTATTACACTCAAATGGGATTCTCTCCTCCAAGAGCATCTCGGTTCTCCTCTCAGGAGTACTTGAATGCTCCAGCTCAGTATGGAAGGTGGCCTGACTACAGGGCGGAGTATAGGCAGCGTCGGCGTTCACAACAGGACCTGCCGTCTCTCGGACACAGTCCTGAATCAGGTATTTATTACTTCTGTAATTGTCTCTAGTAATTTTTTCTAGAGGATTTGTTACATATTTGTAAAATTTTGTGTTGAAAAGTAGAAACAGGTCGTACGAAACTCTAATAATAGTAAAAAACTGCAGTGAGAACTGCAGAAGTTTCGAGATCGGCGTTTGTATTTAAATCCCACATGACAGTTTAGTGTGCATGATTATATTTGTTTCAACCTTACATTTTTGGAAGCAAACCGTGATTCATTTAGATGACCCTGGTTAGAAAGATATATGGCAAAGAAATCGAATTAGCTCATTAGTAGATCTGTAAAACGATTTAAGGAAGTTTCAACTTTCATCACCAGCTGGTCAGGTTTTAGAAAGGTGAAGACTACCAGTCATTTCACAGATACATTTCAAGTCCTCAATAGCGTTTTCGGTAGCTTATTTTTTATTACCTATCTGTATTATGTTTAAAGAAATACACGTATCTAGCACATACATTATATTGAACTGTGCTCGTACGTAGGTAAAATGACAGTTTAGAGGTATTACCCAATTGAAATCGATTTTCACCCACCCAGGTAATCGCTAATGTAATTAAAGAACGGGTAATAAAGTTTTTGCTCTGACAATACGAATCAATTGGATGGCTATAATTCGTTCGTTTTGATATTAAGTGGAATTTCTCAATGAATAGACTTCTACCGATCGGCGGCTATTTTTTAGCACTTGTTCGTGAACTAGTATTCGTCATCGTGTTGTTTCTGTTTGACAGATGAACCAGAGAATGAAATACGAATGCATCGGGCATATCTGATGCGTCCGCTATAAAGCTGGCCATTTAATTTGTACGGACGCATAAATTTTAGAATTCAACTAAACTGTAATAACTTTTGCAACAAAATGTTGAACGCTATTTTTGGAAAAGCTCATAACTACAAATTAGCTGTAATGCCGTTTTGTGTAAGTTAAGTACAAAATATTGAAAGACTGCTTAAAGATATACTACGTATTGAGTGTACCTTGTGTGTGTATGTGGGTGTAAAATATGATGAGTTCGATTTAGGTACCTATAAGACAAATAGTTTGAGAGATAATTGTAATTTTAGGTAAACGATGTTCACTCTACCAGGATAAAACAATATTTACTTTTAACGGAAACTGTTTTCATCTATTCGTCTTTAACCAATGTTTGATTGAAATTAGGCAGTTTCATGTTTATATTTAAAGTGCTAGTTGTAAGAATGAACAGAACACAATTTTAAACAAACCAACAACTTTGAAGGAATAGAGAGAAACATTTAATGTGATCAAGTACGGTTATAAACATATGTGTATCTTATATCAGTAGTACAACACATTCTATAATCTTAATAAACATACTCGTACATTTACTTAGATGTAATCAAAATTCTACACTTTTTTAAAAATCAATGTTAACACTTCATGAAACTAGGATAAATATTGTTAGTTATATTTGAGCCTAAACGTTATGAATGAAGTGTAATGAAAAAAATCTAAATTCGAAAAATAATATCATTATTTTTAAAATGTTCAAGTATGCACACAGGTAAGGTCTTTTTAAATATTTTTCTTACCGAAACAATGACGCTTTTAGAAATTCTGAACTAGAGTTCTGAATTTCTAAAAGCGTCATCAGTGAAGATTGCTCCTATACTTACAACCAACAGCAAAAAAGAGACCTTCCAACTCAATTTAGGTAGTCCCGAGTTTTTGTAATTTGTAAATGCATTCGACCAAGAAAACCGTGCTCATATCCGTAATGGGATATTACACTTAATTAAAAAGCTTTCTGATAAATGTAAGGTGTTTTGGTCAGTACGTGGTCATTATTGAAGGGATATTATTCGCTGCAAAAACTATTATGTGGCCCAGATTCGCGGGGCTACTACAAAACCTTATGACCTTGTTTAAAATGCTTACAGTATACTCGTAGTATATAGTATAGCAGTATGTATAATGGTAATTAAAATAATTATTAACTATTTTTATGATATTTAGGACGATTGGGAGTGTAAATTTCTTGACTCCAATAAGGATCATGGTCAGGCAATACGGTCGAACCGCCATTGATCCGCCGAAAGCATTTCATAGAATAATTTACATCAACAAAAGTAAATGTGGTGTCTTCCACATACACACAGTGCCCGCTAAGATCAGTTTAGTATAGTATTAATTCCTATTCCTTGTTTAACTGTTCCATAATGATCATAAATGATAAAACAGTTAAGAACACATAATTATCAAAATATGCTCTGCACCGTCTCAGATCAAACCCTCATAAACTTCATACCACTAACCCTTTCTTCCAGCATATATTGAATTGTTACCCATTAAACAGGTATTACACCATACGCTCAAATACAAACCTAGCACATATTCGAATAGAATCTAAAATTGTTTGTTGTGATAGGTACAATATGAAAACATTTCAGGCAGGTGTTGCCATGAAGTTTAAGCGTATGTTTTACGCTCGTCTCGTACAGTCGCGGGCTGTATTGTGAACGGCACCTCTGTGGCTCTCCGCGTGATGGATGGGTGTGCATAGTTTTGACGAAGTTGTTGTAAATAGACGGGAGAAAGTAGTACGCTAAGTGATCTTAGAGACGAATTTATTAGCAAAAGTTAAACGATGTTTAAATTCTACAGACGCTCTTTTTAATGGCTATAAAGTTAGTTCAATTACACGAGAAAAAAAAACGAATTTTTCGCGTGTATTGTAAAAGCTACGTAGATACTACTAAGCTACTTTCATCGTAATTCCTCTGCAATATTTAATTATTCTGCCTGTCATATGCGCGTCGTGTGTAACGTTATTTTATAACGGCGATAACGTTATCTTGCGTCCTATAAGATTTAGTCCACTAGATGCGAAAATATTTTTCAAAGCCGACAAAACTAGACACGTTTACAGTAGAACTTTTTATATTCGACTTTATTGTCAGTAGAGATTTAGGGAGACAAGTGGGTGGAACTCTGCCTTCTCCTTCGCGAGCATAACTTGCTCGGAGCGGGACCGGGAGAGGTTTAGGACTCTCCCGGCCCGCCAGGCCCGGGAACGGGCCAGGTACCGCAGGCGACTCAGGCGCCGGAGGTCGCAGAACGACCTCCGTCCTCCATAAGCGCAGGCCTGGGGGTGACAGGTGAAGCCATCTGTCACCCTAGCAGAAGCAAGCCCGGGTGGCGGCGAGCACATTGCGAAGCGCGCTCGCTTCCAGGGAGCAGAGGGAACATGGGGTTCCGACACGAGGGGGGGGGGGGGGTCGTCTACCTGTTGTTGTAGATGGCCCGAGGTATGTAGGGGCACCAGGGACTTTCTTTCTAGGGTATACCTGGTTCCCTGGCTATTAGTACCCGAGACGGCGTGCGGTTTTAGTCGGTTCGAGTCCGACATGCCACCGATAGGTGATATCCGAGGGGATTTTCGCACGAAAAAAAAAAAGGGGGACATCTATGTATGCAATAATAACTAGCTCAAAATTAAACATACATACATCCGTCTGATCCCGAACTAGGCAGTTTCTATTATGCTAACTAGATAAATGCTAATAAACACACAAATGTTTTATTTAAAAATTAATTGCTGTTTCTTAGTCTTACTAAAACTTAGAAATGCCTGGATCGATTCGACTGATTTTGGTCTTAAAATATTTGTGGAAGTGCAGGGAAAGTTTAAACGATGAGAAACTTTAGAAGAAATATCCTACCTGTCTAACATTTGATGTTTGCCCCATACGTCAGTACGATAAACTCAGATCCCCAAATTAGAGGAGGTATTAAATAAGGGTTTCAAGTCGGCAATACATATCCACAATATTCTGAATATCGGGTATTTAGATTAATTAGGTAAAACCAAGGTTACGGGGGTATCTAGTTACTAAATAAATACATTTATGTGCACTCAGACACACAACTAGTAATCATTCTCATCACACAGTTTAGAGATTAGCAGTAGATCACTAGATCAGCATGCCCGTCATCAAAGGGTTTGAGGATCAAAAGTAGCATTAAATGAAAACTTTTCAGTTTTGTTAGGTTAGGTTATTACATATTTCATTGTTAAGTGTTAGTAACTGTTAACTTTTACAATAATTTCGCTTATTCACATACATAATTTCTTAAAATAAATTGCCTTAATGTAGCAATAACTAATTTATTTTTACGGTTCCGTACCTCAAAAGGTAAAAAGGAACCCTTATAAGATCACTTTATTGTCCGTCTGTCCGTGTGTCACCACCGATTTTCTCAGGAACAGGTAGACCTAGCAAGTTGAAATTTATACCAGACACTGAGGTCTATGGTCCCTATTAGGTGTATAAAAATCAAGGTCCTGAGTCAACACGATAAAAAGATATGGGCAAATTTCAATTTTCGCGAAAACTTGTAAGTAACAAAATTTACCTTAATTTTAAACTTTTTTATTTTTCAGAATTTTATCTTTACTTGTGCTGTAAGACCTTGCTTTTAACCAAAATTGACAATTCTAGGTCAACCGGAAGCACCCTTATAGGTTTTGGGTCGAAAACCTATATGGTAGTTCCCGTTAACCTAGAATCACGAAATTTGGCAAAAAGAAATGTCTTACAGCATAAATAAAGGAATAATTTCAAAAAATAAAAAAGTTGAATATTAAGATAAATTTTGGTACTTACAAATTTTCGCGAAAATCTACGTAAAATCTGGGCAGGTAAATCTACGTAAAACCCTCGGCGCACGAGTTCAACTCGTACCTGACCGGTTTTTTTTAGGTTTCCAAAAAAGATAGGTGGAATATGTCTATGACACTAGCGCTGGACTTCATACAAGATAATGTAATGAACACATTCTCCATCTCGAAAATATCACTAGAATGTATGTAGGCACACGTATATGTATATAACTATACCGCTCGGGGCACCCTGTCGAGCCGCTCAGCATCCGATCCTTGTACTCATCTCATAGGATATTTTTATAGAATCTCTCGCAGTTGCCAACTGGCGGATATGTTTTCTTCTCAAACAAACCTCGAGGAGGGCGCTGTATGTGAAAG